TGTTTATTAGTTCTGACCAATTAGAACCAGCATCAATTATAGAATGCCTGAAATATTGAGTTAAATGCTTATTTTGGACCTCAACTTTGCCGTTTGTCCACGGTGCGTATGTAGTTTTGGGTCTAAGTGTAATACCTCATTCAAATTACCAATGAACGAAATCATTGCTAATAAAAGCACTTCCATTATCATGAATGATTTGTTGAGGAATGCCAAATGATGTGATATATTTTTTAAGGAGATTTTTTGTTTCCTTTGAGTCGCCGTGTTTGCGAGGTTATACTTGTATGTATCGAGAAAATGCGTCTACAACAACTAAACGATAGTTTTGCTGTTTCTCATTGGTCTGAGTGGACCTTTGTGGTCAATATGAATTGTTTTCATTGGCGTTGTTTCTAGTTGACCCCATTGCTGTAAGGGAGCCTCCTTTAAATCTTTTCTTTTTGGCTTGTTTTTTTGACAATCAAGACAATCGTGAAGAAGCATTTTTACCCATTTATATAGTCCGGGCCAATAGAAGTATCTTTTAATACTTTCTAATGTTTTTGATTCTCCGTGATGACCACTTGATGACTATGGGCTAGGTTGAAACTGTTGAGAAATAATGATAGTGGCAAACATATTTTTGGGGTTTGGGAACAATCATCGTTATATTCATGAATACACAATAATTCGTTTTGATTTTCGATGAATAGTAGATCAAACTGTCGAAGATAAGCTCTTATAGCTTTATCTCGAGGTCGATGAGGTTTGGTCTCTGAATTTGTACCTCTTTTGACCCATTTTTTTGACAGAGTGAATTACTGGATCTTTTAATTGTTCTTGGACAATTGTTTCTACCTCAAGAGCAGCATTTTTTTTTCAAAATCCGTCAATTTGATTAAATCTAGTGGATCATTTTTTCCTTTTTCTGGTTGCAAGCTAATTGGTTCAATTAGCTTTGATGTTTTAGTTCTATTTTCAAAATCTTGCTTTGCCTGTTCAAAGTTGTCAATGAAACTTCGTTCGACATTGCCCTCGCAAAGTTTTATCAACTCTGGGTTATCAAGCTCGTCATCCAGCGCGAAATTTTCGTCAGGTATTTCTTCGTAAATATTGTGGGTTGACAATTTTTTATTTGGTTGATTTGTTTGCCAAATTTAAAGAAATCTTTTATGCATTCTCCTGGATTGCATTGCAAGGTTCTTGATAGTAATCTAGTGCTTCTTTGATGCTGAAATCCTCTTTTTCACGTATAGCTATAAGTTTTTTCCCCACCATGCAATTGAGCAATGATTGGATAGCAATCGCTGTGTGTTGTATTTTTGTCTTCTTTGTGAAGCACTGAATAATTAATTTGTTCTCCGGTATCTAGAACAAATTTTATTTCTTTTAGAATCGTTTTATGTTCAATTTGATATTTTTAAATATCAGCGATTGGAACATTTCTGCTTAAAAGATCAGGAAAAGCTAAGTTTGTGCCTGGTGTAAACTCATCGCAGTCTTGGATTGCATATGGTTTTTCTTCTCCTGGTATATCTTACTGCATAGCCGAGTACGCCTTTATGTATGGTTACCGGGTGGTCTTGTTGATTTTCAATTTAAATCGGGAGTTTGTATTCAGTTTGAACACAAATAGTATTCATGAAAAATAATCCAGTCTTACGCGTGTCTTTGTGCGGAAAAAATGTAGTCCATTTCTTAAAATATGTTTCGGCTGTATGTTCATACAGATGTGATGAGCGGTGTGAGATATATAGGGGATCTTTAAGTCGGATTGTTTCTATTTTAGAAACATTCGGATATTCTTTATCCTTGTTTATAAGCCATATGAGATGACAACCTCTTCGGATTTTACTTCCACTGCTGGGATATCATAATAAAGGGCTTTAAGAAACAAATGACAGAAGTCGATTCCTAATAGATTAACAGTGCGTTATTCTGTTAAACAGACTTTGTGGTTTGTTGGATACTTTCCGTCGTATCAAAGCATGAAACGATCGATGTATGGCCAAGCATACGGATTTCAGATCCGTTGTAAGTTTTGGCTTTACTTTGGGATTTTAAAAAAGTCATTTTTGCCCAATTTTGTTTAATTCTCGATAAGTTGGTTCCTTCATGATACTAAAGGTTGATCCTCGATGGACCATAAATTCAATTTCCAGTCCACTATTTTTATTTGTGTCTATGATGGCGAAATGATACAGATTGAGTTAGATCCTTGCTTTTGGATTGCTATCTTCACTCGGCTTCGGAGGATTTAATAGTTTAAAGGAAACACATCTGTCAGTGCGTTACAGTAGTTAGTTTCTTCTTCTACCCAATGGGTTTTTTTTTCAACTTGATTTTGGTATATTCTGAATCCTGGTGATCTTGATCGATCAGAATCACGACCAGTTGTTCGGTTATATCCGTTTTGATTATATATTGTCGACCTCTGCGATCACTGCTGCATTGCCTATTTACTTGGTCATAATGCTGTTTTGCAGTTTGTTCCTTGTCCCTGAAAGTATTTTGTTTCGGATACTTATCTTCATATGACTCATTTCGCCTGGGATTGGAATTATACGATGGTTGTTGTTTTTTTCTTGGATAATCTTCTTTGTTATTGTTATTTTGGTAACGAATACCATAGTTACTACGATTCTGGAAATTTGAAGTATTTCCATAATTTCCCGATTGACCGCTTTGATTTGTAAAGTTGTTGTTTCTTGACTGACCGTTTTGATTGTAATTACTTTGATTTGAGAAATTTTGGTTACGTTAATAGTCGGTCTCAAATTATACTTCTCTATCATTTTTTATTGTTAGCTCTTTGCTAAGTTTGTTAACTTCGTCCCGGACTTGTTTCTTGGAGCATCTAGAGATAGAATGACCGTTCGTCCTACAATAATCACAAAAGCGTGTATTATTTGGTCTGCCTTTTATATTCGGATCTCGGCGGCGAAAGGAATGTTGTTCATTTATGGCACTAACCTCTTGATTTTCAATCAATTTGGTTAACTCTTTTATTTGCGTCTCTAGTGATGTCATTTTATCTGTCGATGTTTTGTTTGCAGGGTCAGTGGCGACGATCAAAGTTAAATCTTTTGTAATTATATGATTTGTAAAGGTTTCCCATCCTGTGTTGGGGTTCTCTATCATGTACTCATGAGCTTTTTGCTTCAGAGCTAAGGGTTTAGACATTTAACTGAGAAATCTGTATACTTTTGAGTTCTTTGTCTTGTCTTGACAAGTACCAAAAACTCCTAGTAGTCCACAACTTGGGGAATCGTCCAGCAAAATACCTGGTCCGAAGAGTCCAATTCCGGCTATAGTGGCCAATACCATCGGCGCCCCTCGCCTTCTTCTTGATTGATTCTCTTCAGCTTCATTGAAAAGGAAATGAAAGGTTTCAACTTTGATGCTCGATACTTCGTCTTGTGCCAGTTGAACTTCACTCTGCAGTTTTCGAAGCATCCAATCGACGTTAAAAGATTCCACACTAGCGTTGAACCTTTTCGCAAGTTGAGGCTACAGTCTGTTCTTTTCGATTTCCCTTTAGTTGACAGGATTGAGAGTAATTGCTTGACCTTCTCCTGGATGGTGAAACGATATTTTTTGAATTGCCCAAGACTGTTAGGTTGTAGGATGTAGGATAAGTAGAAGCTCTGACTAGACACAGTTGCTGCGCTTGATCTTAGTTTGAGCTCGTCGTCAGAATGTCGTCGTCTTGCTGGAGTGGGTGAGAAGTGTCACTGTCAACCGCGAACTGTCACCATGTAACAACCTCACTTTGCCTCTTTCCTTTTACAGATGATTCATTTGTTTAACTGCTCTTTGATCTTGCAGTATCTTCATATATTGATGCGAGGGCCCGACAGTGTCTTCAAACTTTCCTCAGCTTGACTCAGAGAATACATTTAGGTTAGTATAGAGCTTTATTGTTTTCACTCCCGCTGTTTAGTATCTCTACTAATCTCTCTCCGTCTCGTTTGTTCATATTATTTACATTAAGTAAACAATAATTCATTCGATCTCATAACTTTAATAAGTTTAATTAAGCAACTAAATATAGCATGAAATGGTCATTGGAAATGTCATGACTAATAATGACACCACTTTAGGGGTGTCATAACAAATAAATTAATTTATTCAAGTGGAATACTTAAATTGATTATTTAAATTGAAAATATAATGTTTTTCATTGCAGTTCCTTAAATTTCAAAGTCGCAATAACAAACAAAACAGTGGTTGTGTGGCGTCGCTGAATCGACTTTAGTTTAAAAACTAGTCAGTTAGGAGCTATAAATTGTCATGATAGTTAAATTGGCGAAGTTAAGAGCATGAAATCTTAATAAATGAAGTCGATGTTATCATGATTGGATTTCAACTATTTAAACAAGTGCTAGCTCACTTTTTGGCGAACCGATTTTATATAAGAGAGATCAGCTCAAGAAAGAAATAGAAATTAAGCCTTAAATTTTTGTTCAAGATAAAGGTTGGACATCTGACCAAAGCATCCCTGTGTAAAAGAATCGCCTTGCCGCTAACAGGAAACGTGTAAATACGTCTGTAAAGCAATTAAATGATAATAGCCAGACATGGTATTTTATACCAGTCACGTGCAAGATAAAGCATTCCTGCAAGGACCTTACAAGATAGCCCATCTTCGTCGAAAAAAGATTCCGTATAGCATAAAAGTTTTTAAAATGTTTCTTAATTGGTGGTTTTTCGTTTCCGCTTGTGCAGTAACAAAATGAAACAATAAACGAGGTGCAGAAATTTTTGAACTCATCTAATTTATTTATCCAGTTAGAGAAATCTGCCAATATTTATTTAGTTAAGATGGAATTGTTTTCTCAATTTGAAGTCTTTCTCTGAAGCTGACCTTCAATCAAATTGAAATTGTAACTGATTCTTATAAAACCGCCGGTTTGAGTTTTATGTCAAAGTTTAAAATAGGGTAAAGGTGAGCCGCTCAAAAAACAGTGATTATCAATGCTGAGGTTGTTTATTGCAGCGGCATGGTTTATTTCAGAATGCTAAGATGCTATTTTCATGAACCAAGATATCTGTGAGAAACTATCTCTAGTCAAATCAAAATACGAAACAATCCCTTCCTTATTTATTCAAAGAGAGATATAGGCTTTTCTGGGAACTATGGCCGGATCTGCATTGAAGCGACTGATGCATGAGTACAAACAACTCACTCTGCAGCCTCCTGAGGGCATCATAGCTGGACCAAAAGACGAGGAAAACTTTTTCGAGTGGGAGGCATACATCAGGGGTTAGTCATTTTATTTAAGGGGTATAATATTTGAGAAATTAACGGCTTAAAATGGTCGCTAGTTGAGATATTTTGTAACGAAAGTTAAAAAATAGCGTTGAGTGATAGATATTATCAGTCCTTGAGTCGCAAAAAAAGAGATTCGCCCAATAAAATAAGAGTCTGAAATGTAGAGAAATAATAGAAACGGAATATGCTGAGGCAAGCCTAAAAAGCCTTTAAAAGACCTTCTGCGAACTGCAGAAACCACATTATTTATTATTATGATTAAATTCTCGCAATTTTCTTGATTTCTAGTTTTTCTTGACAGTTGAAAGAACAAACTAGTTCGAACAACTGTTCCTGAAATTCATTCTCGTCTACATTTTTATAAGTTTCCTACTTGTTACCAGGTCCTGAGAATAGCTTCTACGAGAACGGAGTGTTCCCCGCCACCATCACCTTTCCCACAGACTACCCTATGAGTCCCCCCAAGATGAGATTCACTTGCGATCTCTTCCACCCCAACGTCTACTCCAACGGCAATGTCTGCATATCCATACTCCATTCCCCAGGTCAGTTTGAATACCAAGAGTAAGAATGTAGCTGACACAATGACAGATCCATTTTAGTAACAAGCAATATGGGAGTTTATTGAGAATAGATATATTAGGTTTTAAGGTGCTCAAAATGGATCAGTCGATTTTTTTCAGCTGCGAGGCTAAAGCATAGTGCATCTCAGTGACATATTAAATTTTAAGTTTTTATTTCTATTTTCGTAGGAATTGATCTTTTCCAATGTGGCATCGCGAAAAACAGATTGGGACAAAAACTGATTGGGTCAAATTTCAGCCACCATTTTATACAAAATACAAAAACAGTGGCTAAGATCCAATGTGGTTTATGTAAAATGATTTTTATTCGTGCAGGGGAGGACCCGACTGGCTACGAGAAGAGTAGTGAGAGATGGAGTGCAGTGCAGGGAGTGGAGAAGATACTTTTGAGTGTGATGAGTATGCTGGCAGAACCTAATGATGAGTCAGGCGCCAATGTGGATGCGAGCAAACTGTACCGAGAAGACAGAGACGCATTCTTACTCAAGGCAGACTTATGTGTCAGGAAGTCACTGGGACTAGCTTGAACTGGAGAAGAACTTCAAGGACTAAAAGGAAGGCTCAGATCACTTAATAGAACAGAAATATAGGAAGTTGAAGGGCAAAACATTTCTGGTGTTTTTAATGACTTATGGTAGTCTCTCTCGTTTAACAGTGATCAAAAACATAAACAGTTGCTCTAGCGTTCAATTATCTTCAACTTTTTATTTATATACTTGCAAAGCAGTAGAAAACTCCTTAAAACTTTAAAACTGGGAATTATATTTAAATTACATGCGCTAAATGTGTTGTTTAAAATTATAATGAATTTCAGAATTCGAAAACATTTTCATTTTTGAGGCCGTATTTTGTTTCAGGAAAGTCTTCAGATTTCTTTGCGATTGCACGCATATCTTGGTTTTATTTTTTATTTCTTAAGTTCACTCCAAGTTGTTTTCTAAATAGAAGGCAAATTACGCGATGCGATAGCGATATATCAGCGCTCGTGTTTTAATTTAAACATTTCCCAGCGAAATGAACGAAGCACTTTATACAGTTTCATCAAATTGATTAGTTGTATCAAAAAATGTGCCAATCAGAAGAAGAACTGCTTGTTGCTGTCCACGAAGCATAGAAGATTCCAAATTTGTTTTTTTTTTGTGCGAGATCTGCGGAGAGGAACTTCAGATAATCTTCCAATAGGTGCCGGTTATGGGTTGAATATACACTATATGGTGTTTTAAGAGTCATTTTGGTCGAACTAAAAAAAGGTCACGAAAATCCGCCCACTCCAAGAGAAAATAATAGATCATATTAGCTTAATAATTTTTAAGATTCATGAACATACTGATTATAGGTCTTGGAGTTTTTTTCAGGAAAATCTTAACAGGTCGTCACGCCAAAGTTTGAGTTATCGCAGCTTGACTTTTGATTCTCTTTTAAGTTTTTAAAGTTCATATCCTTTGTTCAGAGGGAGGCAAACTCCACTATCGAACAGCTAAAGTATACCGGCCACGAAAAACATCAGCGACTTTTAGTTTCGAAAGTCGAATTTAGAAATCGGATTTCCCAGCTAAATAAAATCTTTAAGTATTGATCGAGTTTTCTCAAATTGGGTCTATTTCATGAAAAAATTGTGAATTATGAATTGTTCTAGAAATTCAAAGAGGTTAAGGGCCATCTAATTTTTTTTCTTGAAAAATCGAACGCTGAGATTTTTCAAAAAACAAGTCAATTTTTTTTAGCGCGTTACTCTTTTCCAACTGCCAGTTGACTGTTTTACAAAACTTTCAATTGGTGGCTAAAACCCAATGTGGCTTAATCTTAGATGATTTGTAATCATCCACGGGAAGACCCGATTTGCTACAAAAAGCGTAGTGAGAGATGAAGTACAGTGCAGGGAGTGGAGAACATACTGTTAAGTGTAATGAGTATGCTGACAAAACCCAATGAAGAGTCAGGCGCCTATGTGGATTCGAGCAATTTGTACCCAGAAGACAGAGACGCTTTCTTACTCAAGGCAGACTTGTTCTTCAGGAAGTCAGTGGGAATAGCATGAACTTGAGACGAATTTTGAAGGCTAAAGAAGGCTCAGATCACCTAATAGAACAGAAATATAGAAAGTTGAAAAAAATTTGGGTGCTTTTTAACGTCTTATGGTAATCATTCTCTAGCAATGACAAAAAACTTGATGAGTTGCGTTAAGGTTAAGTTATCTTCTATTTGTATGTAATGGCAAAGCAGTAGAAAACTCCTTCAACTTTAATGTCGGAATTATTTTCAATATACATGCTCTAAATGTGATAATAAAAGTGATAATGAAATTCTGAATTCCATTTTTTTGGATTTTTTGAAGACGTGTTTTTGTTTCAGGAAATTCCTGAAACTTTTTTGCGATGAGACGCATATCTTGATGATTTGATTTTCTGTTTCTTCTTAAGTTCACTTCATGTTCGTTTCCTAAATAGAAGGCAAATTACGCGATGCGATAGCGAAACCTGAAAAGCGATTTAGCAGCGCTCTTTGTGTAATTTACATATTTACCAGCTAAAAGAAACCCTCTTTTACATTTTTCTCAAATTGATTGTTTGTATTATAAGATATCAATCAGAAGAAGAATTGCCGGTTGCTGTCCAAGTAGCATAGATAATTCTGAGTTTATTTTTTTAATGCGAGCTGTGCGGAGAGGAACTACAGACAATCTTCGAACACGTGCGGGTTATGCGTTGAATATACACTATGGTGTTTTAAGAGTGCTCAAAAAGTCACTTTGGTCGAACTAAAAAAAGGTTACGAAAATCCGCCCACTCCCAGAGAAAATAATAGATAATATTAGATAATTTTTAAAATTCATGAAGATACTGGTTATAGGTCTTGGAGTTTTTTTCCAGGAAATTCTTGGAAAGGTGTTGACGCCAACATATGATTTTTCGCAGTTTGACTTTTGATTTCTTCCCAAGTTTTTAAAGTTCCTATTCTTTGCTTAAAGGAAGGCAAACAAAACTACCGAACAGCTAATGTATAAAAGTCACGAAAAACGTCATCGTTTTCTAATATCGAAGGAGGATTTCAATTTAACAGGGGAATCAAGATTTAACAGCGGAATCCAACTTTTCCCTAGTGGCCCAATTTACCCAAATTGAGTTAATATTAACTACAAAAGTTTCAATCATAATGTTTTCTTGAAATTCAAAGCGCTGCAAAGACATATTTTTTTGCTTTGAATTTAGAAAACTGATTTAAAAAAAATTCAGTTTATTTTCTTTTCCATTCATGACTCATGTACTCTTTTCCAACTGTTTGTTGGCTGTGTTTAAAAACGGATTTCAGATTGAATAGTGTAGATTTGCTATAAATTGATTCATCGGTATCAGCAGCTTAATTTGCCGGATTTGCTTGCTATAAGTTTGACTAATTGGCAAAGATTTTAAAAGCATTGTTCCTTGCAAAATTTTTAAAGCGTACACAGTTTCTGTTAAAAATCAATCAAATTACGACTGAAAAAGAGCTTCAGTAAATTATAACTCGAAGTTTAAAAAATCGTAAATACACTTTTTTTTGTATTTGCTGGTACAATAAATGTTTCTGGAAATCCAAAGAGCTTTAATAAGATAAATTTTCCCAAAAAATTCTTTCAATTCCATGAAAACTGTTTTGATTTCCGTGAGCTTAACTTTTGTTACTTCTTTTGTTAAGTCAGACGAAATTAGGAACCACATAAAATCGCCAGGTAGGCCTAGTGATACATCGTTAACTCTTTATAAAGTGGCTGTTGGTTATGTTTTTGTTTTGGAGAGCTTAAGCTGAGCATGATAATCAAAAAAACATATAAATTACCCGGTGATCAAATTGTCCTAATTTCATCGAAAAAACTCCACTTCGAGTGTAATCGCTTCGTATTTTGCTTTGGTTTTTTAAAATTGTTTTCTGATTCGATTGCATTTGATCACATTAATTCGGAAATGAGATAAGTTTCACCAGCATGAACAGTAGTTTTATTTCCAGATTGTTTGGCATTTTTTCAAGATTGTATTCCATTGAAATTTTGGATGATATGTAATCATGAAATCAAAACGTCGAAACTCATAATAATCTCTAAAACAATAAATTAATCTTATTTTCACAAAAGTCTAACAAGTTGGTTATCTTGTGTAGACGATAGTTTGGACAGACTCTAATAAAATTAAATCTGATGTTAAGTCAACAGATGGTCCCAAATTACTGTATTAAAAGTTATCTTGGTAAATTTAAACGGCTGGAAATGATAAAGGAAGCAGTTCATCAGTTTTATACTTGCTTCAGCTTGTCGTGTCAAACTAGTTTCAATAACCGGAAGAAATTATCAGTAAATTAAATGTTTTTGCGTTCAATAAGGTTTTCTGGGCAGTGAAAATGACTAAATTGAAACATTTAAAAGCATAACATTTGTTTTGACGAGATAAAAAACTTACAGTGAGTTAAATTATTTTGATACCACGGGACACTTTTGAAGCGCTGTTCTTAGCTTATTTTTATAGATGAGTTTTATATGGTTGAAAAGCCCTTGATTTCTTTATTCAACGAGTCAGTTTTTTTTTACCAATGTTCGTGTAAATTTTTATCTTTGTTTTTGGTTGCTTATTGAAAAAAATCAACTTCCCAGAATTCAATGGAAGACAATGGATGATGAAGAACATTTTGATTGTTTGATTGCTATATCATTATTATTATTATTTTTTTGAATTTATGATCCTTTACTGATACAAACACTAGCTTAGTATTTTAAGTGGGCTCAAAAGGTCAAAAAGGTCAAACTTAAAAACCAAAGTTGATAAATGAAATTTGAAGATGCACCCCGATCGATGAAGTCTACACCGATTGAGAAAACCCACCTCCTTTTCCTGGCTAAGAGTAATATTAACAGTTTTTTTAGTGCGGTTTCTTAGCGAAATAAAAGGCAAAACTGAAAATATTTCCCCTAAATAAATGACAAAACTGAGAAAACGTAGTGAGTATTGGTCTTCATATTTTTTTTGCTTATTTTGTTTCTCAAGAAAAAGTTCTGAAATTTTTGACTCTCAAATATAATTTTTTGTTGCGGCTTGATGTTCAATTTTTTTAAGTTCATCTCATTTTTCTTGTTGAAAGGAAGGTGGACCCTTTTTTTAACAGCAAATGGGTAAAATTCAGGAAAACGTAATCGCATTTTAAATTCGGAAGTGAGTTTTAATTTTAAGAAATGCCAGCAGAGTAAGAACTTTACGCACTGACCCAGTTATTTCTATATGAGTTGTTTTTATCAAAAAGCTTCAATCTCAAATATTTTGTGAAATTCAGGGAACGTTAAAATTGTAGACTCGAAAAGTGTTCAGAAGATTGAGAGGGCAACAAAAAACTCCTTAAGGAGGTGAGAAAGGAGTTGAAAAAAACTAAAACGTGACAGAGGTGACCGTAAAGCAAAGCTGCAGGTCGTAAAACCAGTTGTTGCCAGACTGAATACGATTGACTCTCATATATATGGGCGATTTGAGAAATATGTCCCTTGGAAAATGTCTGGTTTTCGGCGTCTGCTACTTTTTTCTCTTAATTGTGTTACACGTCAACTGTGAAATATAGGGTTGTAGTAATGTCCCATTTTTCATTTCTACACTAGGACAAAACCAGAGAAAATTTGAGGCTGCATTTGAACTCAACTGTTCTACCTCTTGGCGAAAAATTTTTAAAGGAATATTTTGAAGTCACAGGTTGAACCAGCAAACCTTTATACTGTTTTCCGAGAAACGATCCGACAAATAGGACAAGGCAAATTTAAACGTATTCTTC